GAGACTGTGACCATACCCGAGGCCACAACATCTTGGTCTTTACATCTTCAATTTAACTACGAAAGCACAGCATGTTTTCACCGAAATTGTGGAAACAGTCCAAACGGCTGTCTAGATGAAGCATAAATAACCGGAAGTCATGAAATTCAACCACCTTCATTAGGCCATCAGTGGACTTTGACTTTATCTCACAGACCAGAGGTAATAAACAAGCACCTTCTGCGGCTCGCTGAATTGATAAATTTGTCGATTTGTCGGCTTGGTCTCAACGCTTCAACTGATGCAGAAGTTAGACGCTTCTAGTTGGTACAAAAATTGATTTTTTATGAGTTCTTACATAATTCGCCATAGAAATGCAAGCATCGTGACAGTTCTGGAGTTAATAGGATTTTAGAATGGTCATCCAGAAAAATTTCGCAATTATTTTCTTAACTTAAAGGAATTTTTTACTTAAATGTAATTTTCACTTAAAATGTGTTAAGGAGAAATTCCTGAATTAATTTCACCGTAAGATGATGACAGATAACTCTTGGTTTGCTGTAGCGTCATTTCGCAGTTCAGTTCCAGTTAAAACTGGCTTCATCAGAGCTGAACTTCCTTCATACTACTTCAAGCACACACCGAAAGCAAATTGGTCCATCCATACAGGGGCGAATACTGCTGAATGTACGTATGTGTGTTCGTGTGTGTGTGTGTGTGTGTGTGAAGGGTGAGTTAGGGAAAGAAATATTGTGTGGTGGCTCCAAATCATAAACTACGCCAAGACTCCTTGATTATCAAGGTTGAATTTCGCATTTCTAACTCCTGGATATGCATCACTGCGAGTGGGCATTAATGGAGGTCGTCTGCCTGGTTGAGTGGATGAACTCAATTAGCGGATTTGATGACGAAAAATGCGTGTAAAGTTATTCGGACCATACTCTCTTTATCCTATCAATTCACACATAATTCGTTATAGATACCAATATTAGCCGAATTTTGACTAATCTCTTAAGCTAATATAATTGAGAAGACATTTACTTAATATGAAGGCAGATTATGAAGAGATTCATTGCTTGACGAAAGCAGAATTATCTTAACAAACTGCTGATTGGCTTTACTGGAACATTCTTGTTGCCGTTGTTTCCGAGGCAATCTCCTTCGATTCCAGTGAAAAGGTGCTAAGCTTTCTTCCGTCATCTGACGGACATCATCTTACATCCGTATTGAAAGTAACGGGTATTCTTGACTTTTTAGCTTGAATATGAATGCTAGTCATAGGACGGACGAAAGATCAACGAATTTTCACCGTAATCGAAGGAGATTGTTTTGGAAACAGCATCAGCCAGAATGTTTCAGTAAAGCCAATAGACATCTCCATCGTCTTCTGGTGGTATCGACCTTCGAATCTATTCACCACACTCCTTCATCCAAATAAAAGTGATCTCAAAATATAGACGAAGCTCCTTTTATTTTTCGCTGCCCTACATATTCACCCATTGGTATTTTTTTATATCAGAATTAGAGGCTATTCCTCATAATTTAATACGTGAGTAAGCCAAACTAACTCCTTATCCAAGCATTTATATTCCCCAGCTTCATACACATCACAATGATTGACTCTAAAAGGCATACCTGTGATTAATGTTGTGGTGAATTTTAATAACCGATAGTTTATAATACTATCTGCCACATGACAGTCGAACGCTTAGCAGGAATTCATTTGGGTAGAGGAACGGTGCTCTGAAAACCTCTTTGCACAAAACTTAAGTCTCACGTCTGCCAAGGTGGACCATTTACCAATCCTGCCCAGCCACCCCCACAAATAAAATGTTAGGTATACCAACAAAAGTTTATCAAGGGATATTTGGAAAACCAGTGTTTCCTTATACCTGCCTACAAGTTAATTTTATGCGAGCCTATTCGTCTCCCTGCAAAGTGATTGCATTCGCAGAGAGACAACGAATTGTGTGATAGTTAAGGATAATTTATTAATGAAACTATAACCTATTCGAATGACAAACCTGAGGTATTTCCAACTCTGTATCCGCCACCAGATTAAAAGCCTTGGAGGGAGGCAACACAATCGGCCCCTTCATAAGTTCACTGAGGCACATCTCTTTAATCTGCTACTTTGTGGCGCACTTCCCAACAGCCAGTGTCTCGAGCAAGTTCTCAGCCAAAATAATTGGTTGTATATGCTTTTATTAGCCGTGGACACGCAAGTATTTCAAAGATATTGCTCTCCGTACTTGCCATTATCCCCACACGCCTGACAACCACACAGTCAGTGCCTGCACACCTACCGTGCCGGAGTAGTCCAAACTCAACCACGAAGGGATGACTTCAAAATATGGCATTTCCCGAGATTCCCCCAACCAAGCCCATCTTCTCCCCTCCAGTCTACCATCCCTTGTATGGACACATTCCCACATACCACACGATTATGGGCAGGCGGTGTGGTGGTCAGGGGGATATTTCCTTCACTAAGGTGCTTTTGACAGTCCTCCACAATCAGGCATACAGCAATGCCTCACCAGACCCAAATTGTCGACATCCAGAACCCCCATTCTCTGGTCGTAGTGACATATTTTTATAACCCTACCTCGGTCACGAGCTGAGACAAGACACAAGAGACCAAGTGGAAGGAAAGAGTTCTTGACAAAGTAAAAGTAGTGCTCTACTTTGCCTCACCCCACGGACCAGTGCTTGTGAAGTCAAGCTGGACACCGCCTTCACAAAAGCGGTCCGTAGCGGCTTGTTGAGACAAGGGCACTGCTGGGTCTTCAAAATAGGTGGAGCTCATGGCACAAAAATGAAGGCCTCGACGTATGTGTGATTTGTTTGTCTGCATGCGTGAGCAGATGCATGAATGGTCGTCATAGTGTGAATGAGAGGAGGATTTGGTAGGGGGAGAGGCCTACAAAATCAATGCACAAGGAGAGGATGTGATTAGGTAGCTGCCATCGCCTAATCTCAAGATGATGCGCTAAATAAAATAGGCCCAACTGTCAAGTGAATAACTAATACACCAAAAGAGATAGTAAATTGTAAGCCTCCAACAGATTCTCCCCCTCCCAAAAGGCAGGATTCTCTGCGAATTGTGGTGGCAGAATGTGTCGAGTTGTTAATTTCGCCGCATGGACTTTCTCAAAGGCTAGACCAACAAATAAATCAAATGACACGCAATAATGGCTTGATATTTATTAGAAATAATTATGACGACTGTTCAAATGAGTGTTTGTATGCATTTGCAGCTGTGTATATCTGTGGGGGTATATATGAAAAGCAGGAATTGAACAGAGAGAGATGGTGGTAAAGATTATAAGCCTATAACGGGATGTCTCGGCTAGTCCCACCCATGTCTTTATTCTGTCTGTGTGAATCTAAAGTAAACGGTAGCCTGGAGAAATAGTGTCGAGTATCGTCTTGGTGGAGCAAATCAACAAGAGGGATAAATGAACTCTGCCAGGATAAGATGAAAAGGAGGCCGAATTTGGTTAGCCCATGCTATGATATTAAAGGTATGCGACAGGAAGAGGCAAGTAAACATAAGATTTCATTGTGTCAGAGTAATATGTGGAAAATTCCGAAGACCGCTATAGCTTTGTTTAGCATAGCTGGTTACAAAATGAAGAAGAACAATGTGAAATAATCCGAAATGCAAGTTG